TCTAGGCTGGGGGTGCAGGCTCTGGGGTGGGGCAGGAGATTGGGGTGTGGGTGCAGACTTACCTCCAGCAGTTCCCAATCAGCGGCACAGCCAGGGTGCACTGCGGACTGCGCTGTGCCCCAGAAGCAGCCAGCAGCGGGTCTGACTCGTAGGCGGAGGCGCGCAAGCGGCTCCGCGTGACTCTCACCTGCAGGCACAACCCCCCAGTATGCAGCCGGTACTTGGAGCGGGGGCTGCGCATGGAGCCCTGTGGCCCCCTGCCTAGAAGCTGGACCCGCTGCTGGCTGCTTCCGGGGCAAAGCGCGGTGTCGGAAAGCTAGGCACTAGCCTGCCTTAGCCAGGCAGCACCGCCGACAGGACTTTTAATGGCCGGGTCGGGGTGCTGACCAGAGCAAGGCGACCCAGTGCCTGACATGCCGCGACCAAGTAGTGGGTTGTGACTAGGGTGACCACATAGCTAGTGTTAAAAATCAGGATGTGGGTGGTGGATAATAGGCACCTATATAAGGCAGAGCCCTGAATAAAATTGGGACATCTGGTCACCCTAGTCGTGACCCGCGGTTTGAAAAACACTGTATTATACAGTATAGCCGCCCATTCCCCACCCCTGCCCTCTGCTGCCCCTAGTGCCCATTATACAGTATAGCCGCCCCTCGCTAGGTACCTGTGCTCTGGGGGAAGTTGGGAATATCTGTGTAGTTAAAAACCACCGGATCCTTCACCTGGTCAGCCAGGCCCCCGAGGCCAGAGCCACAGATAATGGCCAAGCTGGGGCGGTGCTTGGTGTGATCCAGCAGCCAGTCGGCTGTTTCCTTGTGCTGCTCGTACGTGTACCTGCCGAGGGAGAGAGACGCGAGAGAGTTAAACCGAGCCATGTGCGTACACAGCAGGGCTGATCCCCTCCAGCAGGGGGCACAGAGGGACACACACACACACACACACACACACAGAGCAGGGCCCATCCCCTCCAGCAGGGGTCACAGGGACACACAGAGCAGGGCCCATCCCCTCCAGCAGGGGGCACAGGGACACACACAGAGCAGTGCCCATCCCCTCCAGCAGCGAGCGGACGGACGGACACGCACGCCCGCCCATCCAGCTCCCAGCCCATCTCAGAGGCCTGGCAGGGGCTGGTGCGGGGGGCGGGACGGTGCAGAGCTACAGGGGGCTGGAGCCAGGCTGGGCCAGAGGGGGGACGCTGGGGTGGGAGCGGTGGCCACGGTGGGGCAGGACAGAATTGCAGAGCAAGGGGAAGAGATGGGGCCCAGGGGGTGGGCAAGGCACCAACCCCAGAGAGGCCATGGTGAGGGCAGGGACCTCTGAGCTGCCAGGCTCCTGGGCCGGTCGTGCACGGAGCTGCCTGCTCTTCATCCCCTGGAGAAGGGCTCCAGCCTGGCAGGAGGCGGCACTCAGGGCCGGCTCCAGGCACCAGCTTACCAAGCAGGTGCTTGGGGCGGCGACTTCGGAGAGGGGCGGCACATCCAGCTGTTTGGCAGCAATTCGGCGAACGGTCCCTCACTCCTGCTCGGAGTGAAGGACCTCCTGCGAATTGCCGCCGCAGATCGCGACCGCGGCTTTTTGTTTGTTTGGCTGCTTGGGGCGGCCAAAATCCTGGAGCCGGCCCTCACGGCACTTTACCAGCACCATCCACCCTGCCAGGGCAAGCGGGGAAATCTCCCCCCATCCCAGCTTTGCTGGGCCCCTCACTCCAGACCGCAGCCCTCGCTAACCTGGGCCTGATCTCCATCACTGGAGGGTGAAGAAGGATGCTGGGGGCGGGCAGCATGCAGAGTCAGGCAGGCTGGCCTGGGATTGCTCCCAGGCCTGTTGATCATTAACTAAGGGGTGTGTGGGAAGGGGCGGGGAGCGGGGTCAGCCCAGGCCACCGGAGGGGAAGTGGCTTCCCCAGGGCCCTGTGCTGGCAGGCTGCCATCTGGGTGGTGGTTTCCCGGAATAGAGAAACAGTCTCTGCCCCAGATCCCTGCTGGGCCCCCCCCAGCATTGAGTCACATGCTGGGTTTTGGAGGGAAACATGCTGAGCTGGCTGTTTGGGTCAGGCGGCTTTGACTCATCCGGGTGCTGGGGGAGCCTGGAGGCGCCATGAACATGAGAATCCGGTCTTAGCAAGGGGTGGAATAGCAGGGTGCTGTGGGTCCGGACTCAGGGGCACCGGCAAACTCTCCTTGCAGCTGCCAGGGGCCGGATCAGGCCCAGAGCCCCCTGGAGTAGAACAGCCCTGTGCTCCATTCCCCACCCCCCTGAGCCATCCAGTGCCCCCTCCCCCCCGCAAGGAGGGCATTAAGGGGTCAGGAAGAGTCCCACAAAGGGTGAACAGATGTCCCGATTTTATAGGGACAGTCCCGATTTTTGGGTCTTTTTCTTATATAGGATCCTATTACCCCCCACCCCCTGTCCCGATTTTTCACACTTGCTGTCTGGTCACCCTAGTCCCACATTCCCTGCAGGAGCAGACAGCCCCTCACCCATTACGAGTGGGTCAGAACTAGCCCTACTGTACCAGGCTGGGGTCACTGTGCTGGGCTCCCCACAGCTGGGGCTGCGGGGCGGGGGGTACAGCAGGGGGCACTGGGCTGCAGGGAGTACAGCAGCTGGCACAGCAGGGGCGCTGTGCTACAAGGGGGAGTACAGCAGGGGGCAGTGGGCGAAATATAGCATGGGGCACAGCAGGGGGCGCTGGGCTGCGAGGCAGGCACAGCAGAGGTGCTGGGCTGGGGGGGGTACAGTGGGGGGTGCTCTCCCCAGGCAGACCCATTGCCCAGCACTAGAGGATCACCCCAGCCCCTCCCTGGGGTCCTGGACCCAGTGCCAGCCACTAGTCAGTCAGTGCCAGGGCTAATTAACGCCTCCCCAGACTGCCCGGCACACCCCCACCAGCCCCCAGCGCCTAGACACTCTCTCAGGGCATCAGTGGCAGAGAGCCCAGGCGACCTGGCTCCCAGTCTCCCCCCCCCCGTAATCACTAGACCGCACTCCCCTCCCATCCCTGGGGATAGAACTCAGGAGTCCTGGTCTCCAGCCTTCCCGGAGAGGACCCAGGAATCCGCCCCTCCCCCCGCGCACACCTGCACTCCTCCGACGCTGCCGGCTCCATGGCGGGTCCGGGCGATGCTGAGCCGGGCGCGGCCGGGCCGGTGATTCCGGCTGCTTCGCCCCGCCCCCGGCCCGGCCCCAGCTCCGCTCCCTGCCCTGGCTCCGGGGGAGAACCCCACACCCCGCTCTCCAGCAGCCAGGGAGACCCCCCCACACACACCTAGCCCCGCAGTGCCCAGGGGCGAGATCCCCCATTGTAGCCCCTCATCGCCAGACACCCTCCAATACAGCCCTCCAGCATTGGGGGAGACCCCCTATTCTAGATCACCCACCCCCAGACCCCCAGTGTCCAGGGGAGACCCCCCATTCCCAGCCCCCCAGCACCAGGAGGAGACACCGCATTCTAGCCCCTTACCATTCCCATCCCCCCAGCGCCAGAGAAACCCCCCTTTCCAGCCCACCAGCATTGGGGGAGACCCCCTATACTGCTCACCCATTCCCAGCCCCTCAATGCCCAGAGAAGACCTCCCATTCCAGCCCTCCAGCATCGGGGGAGACCCCATAGTTCTAGCCCTCCCATTCCCAGTCCCCCAGCACCAGGGGGAGACTCCCCTTCTGCCCCCTCCTCATTTCCAGCCCCCCAATGCCAGAGACTCCACTCTACTCCCACGCCCCGGCACCAGAGACACCTCCCCAATCCCAGCCTCCCGGCGCCAGAGACACCCCCAATCTAGCCCCCCTATTCCCAGCCCTAGATACCTCCATTCCAGCCCCCCAGCTCGAGACACCCCTCAATCCAACCCCACTACACCCAGACTCCCGGCGCCAGAGACACCCCCAATCCAGCTCCCCTACTTCCAGTCCCCCAGCGCCAGACACCCCCCTTCCAGCCCCCTACTCCCATCCCCGCAGCGCCAGATACGCCCCCTTTCCAGCCTCCTACTGCCAGCCCCCCTGTGCCAGAGACACCCCCAAATCCAGCCCCCCAACGCGCCAGACACCCCTTTACAGCCTCCCTACTGCCAGCCCCCCAGTGCCAGACACCCCCAATCCAGCCCCCCTACTCCCAATCCCCCAGCGCCAGACGCCCCCCCAATCCAGCCTCTTATTCCCAGCCCCCCAACGCGCTAGAGAACCCCCCATTTCCAGCCCCCCGGCGTCGGAGTCACCAGACCTCCCGATATTCGGGGCTTTCTCTTATACAAGTAACTGTAAACCCCACCCCCCGATTCCTGATTGTTCCCCCTCTCCCAGCGCTGGAGCGACCCTCCCCCCGGTTCTCAGCCCCCCGAGATCGCCAGCAGAACGCCCCCGCCGGGGGGGGCTCGGGGGCGGGGCCACATGCTTCCCAGGAAGTGAAATGGGGGGGAATGGAAAATCCACAGCCCGAGTTCCCGGGTTGCGGGGGGGGAGGGGCTATAAGGAAGGTCATTGCCAGGTAGTGGGAGGGGCCAGCGCTAGGGGGAGGGGGTTATGGCAAACGGGACGGGGCGGGGCCCGACTCAACTGACATGGGAAACAGCCAGCGAGGAGCAGCCAATGGGAGCGGGGCTTGGTGGGGACTCACATGGGCAGGGCGAGTTGGGCGCCCGCCAACGGCGGGGGCCGGCGGGGTCGCGGGAGGGGTAGTTGCTGTGCCCAGCCAATCAGGAGGCGTGAAAGTGGTGACGCGCTTGGCCAAACAAAGGATGCCACCTTCATTATGTGGGACTGATTGCGGGAACCAGCCAGTAAGAGAAGCCTCCGGGGTCACGTGGGGGAAGGCGCCGTTGGTCGAGCCAATGAGGGAGTCCAGTTCGGGTCACATGAGGAGGGCGACTAATCCAGCCAATAGGCGGGGAGCACTGATGTCACGTGCTGGGAATTGCCCGCCGCCAGTCAATGAGAGGACGGTATGGGCTCACGTGACGCCAGCGTCACATGACGGCTACCCAGTCGCCTCTTGGCCAATAGGCGGCCGCCCCCCTCACGTGACCCAGGACGTCACTGCGGGGAGCCGGGGACGGGCTCTACGGCAGCCGGGAAGCGGCGATGTCGGGGGACGGCGAACGCTCCCCGTTGCTGCCCGCGGAGCTTGGCGAGCCTGGCACTCCCGGGGCCCTGGCCGGGCCTGGCGGGCTCGTCCCTTCCGCGCCGCTCCCACCCTACGGGGGCCCTGCGGCAGGGAAGCCGGCCCCGCCCCATGGTGAGCGGCCCCGCCCCGCGGCCCCGCAGGGGCGCGGCTAATGGGCGTGTGAGGAGGGGGTGTATGGGCGGGGCTAAGGCTGAGTGGGCGGGGTTGTGGGGGCTATAGGTTCTGGGGAGGGGTTAGAGGTCTCGGTGGGTGGGGTTGGGGTCTTCGTGGGTGGGGCTGTGGAAGGCTGCAGGTGCCAGGGCGGGGCTGCTGGGCGGAGCTAAGGGAACTGGGAGGAGCTATATGGTTTGTTGAGTTGATGGAAGGTGGGACTGGGACTGGGGAAGGAGCTTGGGGAGGTGGCCGTGGCTAAGGGGCCTAGGGCAGGCTGGCTTGTGGGTGACTGTAGCCTGTGGTTCCCTTGCCCAGGCTTCCCACCGTTCCCAGATGGGCATCTAGCTGTGCTGCCTGGGGAGGACCCCCCACCCTACTCACCCATGGCCAGCCCCGACAGTGGCAGCGCCCCCATGATCACCTGCCGCGTCTGCCAGAGCCTGATCAATGTGGAGGGCAAGATGCACCAGCACGTGGTGAAGTGCAGTGTCTGCAATGAGGCCACGGTGAGCCGGGAGCCCTGTGGGGGCTGGGGTGATCTCGCAGGTGTCCTGTGGGGGGGCTGGATCCCCCATTAACCTCCCCGTGAGGTCCCACTACTCTCTTCCCATGCCGTATGCCTGTCTCTGTCTTTCCAGCAAGCCTAGCTGGTGCTCCTGAGGGGCCCCCCAGGAATGGGAGGGATTTGGGGGTTGTCTGTTGGCCCCTGGCAGGCGGCGTCGGAAGAAGGTTATTCTGTAGAGCTGGAATGACAATTCTCAGCTCTGAAGACCCCCTTAGGATCTGGCTGGAGCTGGGAGACCCCGAGGCTGGGACCAGAGGAAGTGGAGCAAAAGGCCTGAGCTTACTGTGCTCCCTCCAGAGCCAGGGATAGAACCCAGGAGTCCTGGCCTCCAGCACCCCTCAGACTCAGGTCTTCTTTCTGTCTCTGCTGCAGCCGATCAAGAACGCCCCCCCGGGGAAGAAGTATGTGAGATGTCCCTGCAACTGCCTGCTGATCTGCAAGGTGACGTCCCAGCGAATCGCCTGCCCCCGGCCCTACTGGTGAGCCACGGGGGGGTTCCCCTGCTGTGCTGGGCGGGGGGGTGGCACCGAGGGCACACTGGGCCTAGGTGATACTTCCCTGGGTTCCTGAGTGGGAGGAAACCTTGTCTGTGCCTGAACAGCCTTCGCTTCAGGAACACAACTTCCAGTGTAGACACAACGCCCTCGCTTTCAGCCATGCAAATGTCTCCTGTGGTGAATTAGTGTGCTGCTATTGGACCCCGGGGATCCCTGTAACCTCCTGGGCACCCCCTGTGCCCTCTGCCAGTTGGCACCAGTGGTCCCTGGGTCACAGCCTGGCTTGGTACCTAAGACAGGGCAGGGCTCCAGTCTCATCTGTGTTGCTTTCTCTCCCCTGCTGCAGCAAAAGAATCATTAACCTGGGCCCGGTGCACCCAGGGCCCCTGAGCCCTGAGCCCCAGCCCGTGGGAGTGCGGGTCATCTGTGGGCACTGCAAGAATACTTTCCTGGTAAGCAGGGGCAGCCAGGACTCCTGGGTTCTGTCCCTGGCTCTGGGAGAGGTGCGGGGTGTAGTGGGGTTCAGAAGGGGTGCTGGGAATCAGGACTCCTGCGTTCTGCCTGTGGGAAGGGAGTGCTGTCTAGTGAGTAGAGATGGGGTGGCTGGGAGCCAGGACTCCTGGGTTCTATTCCAGCTCTGGGAGGGAAATGGGGTTTAGTGGGTAGGACAGGAGGCTGGGAGCCAGGACTCCTGGGTTCTGGCTGTGGGAGGGGCATGGGGTGTAGTGTGTAGAGCAGGAGGCTGGGCATCCCATGTGTGTTTCTCTCTGGTTCTTATTCTCCCAGTGGACAGAGTTCACAGACCGCACCTTAGCCCGCTGCCCGCACTGCCGCAAAGTGTAAGTTTCTTGTCCCTCCCCACGGCGAGACCCATTGCCCCAGGCCACAGCTACAGGACAGAGAGAGGCCTGGTCCTGGGGGTGGGGCTGGGCCCACATGGGCTTGGGAGGCCGAGGAGTGGAAGGGGCTCTGAAAGCAAGGCCCAAGTGTGGGGTCTAAGGGCGTGGGGAGTGGTTGAGCTCGGAGGCAGGACTTCTGGATTCTCTTCCTGGCTCTGGGAGAGGAATGGGGCCAGGGGCCAGAACTCCTGGGTTTTCTCCCTGGCTCTGGGAGAGGAGTGGTGTCTAATGTAGCAGGGGGCCAGGACTCCTGGGTGTCCATGTCTGACTCTGACTCTCTCCCCCCAGCTCCTCCATCGGGCGCAGGTACCCCCGGAAGAGATGCATCTGCTGCCTCCTCCTGGGTGTCTTAGTGGCTGTAGCTGCCACAGGCCTAGCGGTGAGTGTGTGACCGGGGCAGGGGAGCGGGCCGTGCTGATGGAGCCTAAGGACTGCCCAGGGTGTCTGAGTCTCTGTGCTGCCCTGGGAGAAAGGGGACATTGAGTGGGGAAGGGCCTGTTGGACATAGAACCCAGGAGTCCTGATTCCAAACCCCTCCTCCCCGCAACCATTAGACCCTCCCCTCCCCGCGCAGAGCCGGGCTGGAACCCAGGAGTCCTGACCCTGCTGTCTCTCTCTGCGCAGTTCGGCACGTGGAAGCATGCCCGGCGGTATGGTGGGATCTACGCTTCCTGGGCGCTGGTCATTCTCCTGGCTGTGCTGTGCCTAGGCCGGGCCATGTACTGGGCCTGCATGCGAGTCAGCCACCCCGTCCAGAACTTCTCCTGAGCCACCCCTGCTGCAGGGAGCCCCGTCCATCTCAGCCAGCTTCTGCCCAGCCCCCGGTCCGCTCCTGTGCCTCTCGCCTTGGTTCTGCTCCCCTCCCATCCCGCCGGACCCTGAGCAGGAGACCCCCATGGGACGTGACCAATGGAGGCGGCTGCAGTGGTCTCAAGGGCAAGGGGCCCACCAGGCCAAGAGGGCAGCTGAACTATGGTAGCTCTGTCTGGACCAACCCGAGAGGGAGCTGGATTACAGTGGCTCGGCTGGGACCCACCACCCAGGAGACGGGGAACCCACCCAGCCAAGGGACACTGGGTGACGGAGGTGGGACCCGACCCTCCCCATCAGCCAAGGGACACTGGGTGACGGAGATGGGCCCCGACCTCCCCCTTTCCCCCAGCCAAGGAACACTGGGCGACAGAGGTGGG